TAACGCGGGTTTTAATAGATCTTTTTGTTTGTCCTATGTACGAGAGACCACATTCACAATCCAGCTTGTACACTCCTGCATCTTGTAAAGGGATATGACACTTGACGGATGGTAAAAATTGACCAATCTTCTTCAGCGGCTAGAAGTACGTTTTAATGGAAGCTCGCTTCAAGATGTAGCCAACCTTGTCTGTGACTCCTCTGACATAGGGTAGTACAGCAGGCGCACGCTCGACTGTGGCTGGCTTCACTCGGTCACTGTGACGTAGGCGCGGGACCCGAAGCTTGTTGTCTTGCAGTAGTTGCTCGACGTACTGAAGCTCGGCGGCCAGATGTTTTCTGTCACAGATCCCTCGTGCTCTCTGAAACAAAGATTTTCCCACGGTAGCTAACTGTGAAGGATGATGGTGAGATTCACCATTTAAATATCGGTTGGTATGGGTATTTTTTCTGTACACAGTATGACCAATAGTGTTATCAGGATTTCGGATGACTAAAACATCTAGAAAAGCTAAAGTATTGTTTGCCTCTCTCCATTGTGAATTGTGTTTTAGGGTTTATGGAATTAAGGTGGTTTAAAAATGCAGTTACTTTGTCAGATGGTAAAATTGTGAAAGTATCGTCTACGTACCGCTTGTAGAATCTTGGATTTACAGGAGCAGTAAGAAGGGCTTTCTCCTCAAAGGCCTCCATGAATATGTCGTCGACTACGGGAGATACAGGTGAGCCCATTGCCACTCCGTCTACTTGCATGTAGAACTCTTCTTTCCACAATAAATAGCCAGATGTAAGGCAGTGTTTGAGTAATACTGCATATTCTGTAGGCATGTTGTTATCTTCTAGCTTTCTAGTAACAATTGAGATGCAGTCTTCAATAGGTAGGCATGTGAATAGTGACTGAACATCAAAACTGACCATAGTTTCATTGTCAGCGAGATGTAGGTCTTTAATCTCACTAACAAATTGGTATGAATCCTTTGTGTGTGCTCTGGTATGTCCTCTTAGTGGTGACAGTATTTTTGCCAAGTGTTGAGCCAACTTATAAGTTGGTGAATCGATCTGGCTTACTATAGGACGTAGTGGAGCGTTTGGTTTGTGTATTTTCGGTAACCCATACAACCTCGGTGGTTTGGCACATGATGGTATTGCCGAATTCACGTCAAGATCAAATTTTTCGGAGTATTTCTTTATTTAATCAGTAGTTGTTTTGAGTGTATTAGTTGTAGGGTCTATTTTGACCTTTTTGTATGTACTTACGTCCGATAAAAGTTGTTGTATTTTGAAATTATACTCTGACGTGTCTATTATTACCGTAGACGTCCTTTATCCGCGCGGAGAATCGTGAGCTCGGGTCTGTTGCGTAAGTTGTACAACGCTTTAAATTCGTGTTTGGGAAGATTTAGTTTTGGCGCTGAACTTCGATGTAACAAAGACGAAATGTCTTGACGTATAGCCTCTAAATCCTCTTTACCGATATTATTCTTAAACAGACAATCCTCAACACTACAGATAATTTCCTCGTACGGGATTTTTTGCGGCGTTATAACAAAATTTAAGCCTGTCGACAATACTTTTATTGTAGGTTCGTCCAGTGTTTCTTTTTACAAATTATAGACCGTGCGTTGTTTATTGTTTGCGTCTGTGGTCAACGGTTGTTGCGTTTCGTTTCTACGTTGACATGGATGTTTGGCATTTGATTTGATAGTTAATTTTTGGTATTTTTCTATTTGTTTGCCTTTGCATTCATTTTATTTCGATATTTCGCGTTTGTTTAAAGTTTCAATGCAATTATTAAAATCAAATGTCGTTAAAACTGTCTTTAACTCACTGGACAAATTGTCTATGGTATTATTTATGATTTGTAAATCGAACCATTTTTGCTGAATCACCGTTCGTAACAACTTTTTACTTGCCTGATTTAAGATCTTAGCGCTTCCTCGAATGTCCTTTTTAGTAGATATTTTGACGCACGTAGGAATGAGCTGGTGGTCGGGGCACCTTTTCAGAAAATTCAATGATGTTACAAATCTTGCGCGCTTGGTCATGAGATCTTCTAATCGGCGAATTTTATTTGCAATTACCAGTCCGTACTGGTTTACATAATGATTTCTTATATTTACGCGAACACTACACATTTTTAAATAAAACTAATTTTACGGATTTTATCGCGTATATTAACTTATTTTTAACTTATTTTTATATTTCCGACGTTTCGGGTGCTTTCCAACACCCGTGGTCACGGGGGACTGAGTTGTTTGACGTCCTGCTGTCATAGTTAGCCCGGCTACCTTCAGTTTTTTAATATTAATTTTTGGTTCGATTTACGCAGAATGAGCTTACAGTATCTTGAAGTCTAGCAGTGGTATACTTGGGTTTGGATTTGATTTTATTAATTATGGGATCCCAAGCAGATGGCAGCACCCATCCATCTTCTCTATTGAAATTAGGATGTTTTTTAATTTCAATAGCCTCGCGAATCATCCTTGGGAGGAATCGGTGTTCTTTTGCGAGGATTTGTGGTCTATCAAATCTAATGTAATGACGGGGACGATCCTGAACATGTTCACAAACTGCAGACTGCTATTACAGACGATACTTTCACAATTTTACCATCTGACATACTTTGTCAGATGGTAAACGACATATTCATGGAGGCCTTTGAGGAGAAAGCCCTTCTTACTGCTCCTGTAAATCCAAGATTCTACAAGCGGTACGTAGACGATACTTTCACAATTTTACCATCTGACAAAGTAACTGCATTTTTAAACCACCTTAATTCCATAAACCCTAAAATACAATTCACAATGGAGAGAGGCAAACAATACTTTAGCTTTTCTAGATGTTTTAGTCATCCGAAATCCTGATAACACTATTGGTCATACTGTGTACAGAAAAAATACCCATACCAACCGATATTTAAATGGTGAATCTCACCATCATCCTTCACAGTTAGCTACCGTGGGAAAATCTTTGTTTCAGAGAGCACGAGGGATCTGTGACAGAAAACATCTGGCCGCCGAGCTTCAGTACGTCGAGCAACTACTGCAAGACAACAAGCTTCGGGTCCCGCGCCTACGTCACAGTGACCGAGTGAAGCCAGCCACAGTCGAGCGTGCGCCTGCTGTACTACCCTATGTCAGAGGAGTCACAGACAAGGTTGGCTACATCTTGAAGCGAGCTTCCATTAAAACGTACTTCAAGCCGCTGAAGAAGATTGGTCAATTTTTACCATCCGTCAAGTGTCATATCCCTCTACAAGATGCAGGAGTGTACAAGCTGGATTGTGAATGTGGTCTCTCGTACATAGGACAAACAAAAAGATCTATTAAAACCCGCGTTAAAGAACATATAGCTGACGTGAAGCACCGACGTATCGGGAAGTCTGCAGTTTGTGAACATGTTCAGGATCGTCCCCGTCATTACATTAGATTTGATAGACCACAAATCCTCGCAAAAGAACACCGATTCCTCCCAAGGATGATTCGCGAGGCTATTGAAATTAAAAAACATCCTAATTTCAATAGAGAAGATGGATGGGTGCTGCCATGTGCTTGGGATCCCATAATTAATAAAATAAAATCCAAACCCAATTATACCACTGCTAGACTTCAAGATACTGTAAGTTCATTCTGCGTAAATCGAACCAAAAATTAATATTAAAAAACTGAAGGTAGCCGGGCTAACTATGACAGCAGGACGTCAAACAACTCAGTCCCCCGTGACCACGGGTGCTGGAAAGCACCCGAAACGTCGGGAATATAAAAATAAGTTAAAAATAAGTTAATATACGCGATAAAATCCGTAAAATTAGTTTTATTTAAAAATAGTTAGGCGAATCTTCATAACACATGAAAACAGTCTAGAACTTGTAAAATAATGGTATTTTTTTCACTTGTTTCATGATGAAGATATTTAAACAATTTCAATGAAGAAATTAATCTCAACAATGAAATGCCCTGAAAGGCTTCCCGAAATTCCGCTACGTCATAATCAAATTAATTCAGTACATGCATTGTCGCAGCGAGGTAGAGTAATAACTTTATATTCAAAGACATGATGGCAGTTAAACCACAGTTGAATGCAATGTAAACGAAATTATGCTCCGAGGAAGATAAAATGGATACTTCTTATGAATATATTAAGATAAGTAACATAGTACCATTGGCGGAGTTTCATTTCATCCATTAACTACAGCCTATCAAAAATCTACTGTCGAACATAGACCTCTCTTGTAAGTTAAAAATGGGGTGGGGGAGGGGAGGATATTTGCCATAGTTGCCACCTTTCTCAGGCGGGTTGGCAACTGAAGATTTTTATTATTTTCAGCTGTTATCCGAAAGATGATACTGCCGTCACAACATGACGAATGTCGGACGAAAACCTCATGTATTTCACCTTTGCAGTAAATACACGGGAACGTTTTCGCACATATCCACAGCCTCGGCTGCCCGCACTACCCGCTCCTTAGCAGCCTCTCCTCGGGAACAAAGTCCCAGTATTTTGGTTTTATCTTATGACATAATAAATTTTTGTTATTTTGAGAGTTGAGAATTTGTTTTCCTTTTTACTTATTAAGAGTGCCATTTTTGTATACAAATAGGGTGACAAATGTGCACACAGTTAACCTGGTGGTAAGAAGCTACATTTATCCTTGTTTAACAATCAAAATGCATTGTCACCCTATTATTGTATAAAAAATCACACCAAGATGGAATGCCTTGTTTCCAGTAAATAAGGTCTCCGGTTCTCTACACTAACCGTACGAAACAGTTCAGCATGGAGCTGCCTTTTCACGCTGGTATTCTTTAAGAACATGGTGCTTCCCCGGTTGAACCGACACACTGTCAAATCAAACTACTAAAGTGAAGCAGGTAAAAAAATCGTGAATTGAAATATGAGTTTTTGTGTGAACTTACTTGTGAAAAAATAATATAAATAACTTTAAAAGTTACATGGTATAAATACACGATAGCCTAATATTAAAAAATGAAAACCCTAAAGTCTCCTGAAAATGTTGAAGTTATGCCTTCTAAAAAAAAATTAAAACAAGCTAGACTGCCTTTTAAAATTTTAAGTGATGTATTACCAGAAACAGTAAGTTCTAATACAAGGAAAAGAAAACTTTCTGTTACTGAAAGTGAGCCAATTACAAAAATAGGAAAAGTTACGACGGAAAACGATTTAGTAGCGACCAGTGGTGAATTGGTAGTGATAAGTGATGATGACAGTAAAGATACTCCACAGTTACAAAAAGAAGATGTTAAACTTAATCCTTACGTTAAATTGGTTGATAGCGCTTGGAAGAAAAAACTTCAAAGATCGAAATCCCCTAAAAAGAAAAAAAGTTTGCAAAAAGAGACAGCTACATCTACTAACAGTAAAAATATAGAGGATGGTACTAAGGAAATAGATAAATCTGCTTGTATGGATGTCGATGCCTTAGTAGACGATAATAATCCGGTTAGCAATGATAAGCCTCCAGTTACAGACCATACTGTTTTAAAAAATCCCTCAAATGATAGTTTTATATTTAATAATGAAACACACAATAACTCGGAAGATGAAACTTGTGTTAATAAAAAGTTAAATAGCTCATCGGCCTCAAATGTAACTCAAGAAAACTTACAGGAGACAGAAAACATTGATATTGTAATGGATACAGTTTGTAATGAATATGATAAAGAAAGTGATCAAGAAAATAAAGCTGTCACACCTAAAAGAAGTAGTAGGAACAAAGTAAAGACTGATCAGAAAAATTTGGATAAATCTCAATCAAGCATTTGTGAATCTCCTGATCCTAATACTACTCCAAAACATAATACAAGGAGCTCTTCAATCACCAACACTCAAGATGTGTCTTTAAATGATTCAGCTTCATTAACTCCAAAACAGGTGCAAAAGAAACTGGAATCTGCAAAGAAAAAAGAAGAAAGAGAGAAAAAGAAAAACAAGAGCGTGAGAAGAAAAAACAACAGGAAAAAGAAGAAAGAGCAAAACAAAAGCAAGAAAAAGAGGACCAGAAAAGGCGAGAACGGGAAGAGAAAAAGGAAGCAAAAAGAAAAGAAAGGGAGGAGAAAGAAGAACAAAAACGAAAAGAGAGAGAAGAGAAGGAACGTCAGAAAGAACTAGAAAAAAAATTAAAGGAAGAAAAAGAGGAACAGAAACGCAAGGAAAGAGAAGAAAAGGAGGAAATGCGTAGGAAGGAAAAAGAAGCAAAGGAAGAAGAAAAACGGAAAAAACGAGAAGCTCAAGAGATAGAGCGACAAGAGCAGGAGCAAAAAAAGAAAAAAGCAGCTGAGGCATTTGTTAATTTCTTTGTCCAGAAACAAAAGAATGAAAAAGATCAGCTCACAGTTAGTCCAGTCAGCAAAAACTGCATGTTATCCAGTTTTACTATAAAAGTTGACATGAGATTAGCACCTACTACTAGAAATAGCATAATCGATGAACAAAAGGAAGCACTAGACAATTTTTTAAAGGAACAAAATGTACCTGAAAGTGCATTATATATAAGGAACTTGAAAGAAGGTGACAGAAAACCAATGAGTGATGGAAAAACTTGGCCATGCAGTGATAAAGAAAATGATGGTGACGTAATAATATTTGAGGATGATTTACCGCCAATAGATGATGCAGATGAAATATTGAATTGTGAAACTGCTGTGCGTGAAAAACTACGCCCGAAACTTTTCAGTTTCCATGAAAATAGGCGTCCACCATACTGGGGTACTTGGCGAAAGAAAAGTGCATTTGTTAAACCAAGACGACCATTCCAACAAGATCAGAAGCTGTTAGACTATGAAGTGGACAGTGATGAAGATTGGGAAGAAGAGCAGGAAGGGGAAAGTATTGATGGTAGTGCTGCTGGTAGCGAGGATGAACAAGATGCAGATGAATATGAAGTTGATAATGAAGTGTTTGTGCCGCATGGATATCTTAGTGATGAGGAAGCTACAGTGGATGAAGACGATGTCTTATCTCTTTCGCCCGAGACACAAAAAGCCAGACTAAAACACTTGGAAGATGAATTTGAATCTGAATTAAAGAAGCCAACAGAGAAATTGAAACCTAGAATGTATGGCATATTATGGGAGACGGCTGATGGAAATAAACCAGAAAAATGTGTTGATGCATTATGGGATTACTTTAAGAATTTCTCCATGATTATGAATGACTTAACGCCATTACTTCATCCATCAAATGAACCCGAGGAAACAGAAAAAAAGAAACTGAAAAAGAAAAAAAGTGTGCCTGATGTAGAACAGGTGCAAAGTAGTGCAGAAAAAAAGAAAAAAATTAAACAAGACAGTAAGGAATCAAAAAAATTAAAACCCGAGGCAAAAAACATAATCCAAGAAACAATGAAAAATCAACCCGTAATTAATACATTTTTAACAAAATTAAAGTCCCCGTAAACAGTATTTTGTATAATTGAATATCCTATTTAATAATCTATTTTTTAACTTATATATCTCACAAAATATACAGCGTTTACTATATCACTCTATAAATAGTTTGAATGTCTTTTAAACAAGACTGTAAGAAATTGTTGTGATCGCCATGATTTTAAATGAATAATATGTTGTAATTTAGAAAAATTTTATCAATACATACATATTTCCTGAAAAACAAAAAAAAAATGATTCAGAAACTATTTTTGTTTTACAGAAGAGGGCCATTAGAGCTATTTACAATCTAAAACCGAGAGAGTCTCTTAGAGATAAATTCAAAGAAATTAATATATTAACTTTGGCCTCTCAGTATATTTACGAAAATTTAATGTATGTTCACAAAAACAAAGATAGTTTTAGTAAAAGAAGTGATATACATTCTGTAAACACTAGGAACAAACACAAGCTAGTGATACCAGTTTCTCGACTCCACAGAGTCAGTAATTCATTCTTGGGGCAATGTATACGCTATTACAACAAGGTCCCGGAAAGTGTACAGGTTCTCTCTATTACCAAGTTTAAATGTTTTATTAAGCTGAAACTGTATAAAAAGGGTTATTATAGTATAAATGAATACATGGTTGATAATAACCCCTGGGAATGAGGTGATCGCTTCCAAGCAGTTTCTAAAATAAATTTTGTAAATAGTTCTTAATCATTTATATTGTAAAATTTATTTAAAAAAAAAAGTCCCGCTGGGTTTCTTGCTGGTTCTTCCCAGGACAGAGGGTTTTTTCGAACCAGTGGTAAAGTAAAAAATGACTTTCAATAAGAATTACACATGTAATGTATATTGAATAAAAAATATTCTATTCTATTCTATTCTATTCTACATACGTGCTACTACCATAACAGAGCTGCAGTATGACTATACCACTTGAAAATACCATTTAAATGTTTCATTGTATTAACCTTATCCTACATTTCAATCAAAATGCTTATCCATGATTTTCTTTAGTTTATTACCGTATCTAGTATTTTCCAAGAAATCGCATGTCGTAAACCATATCGTATGTATTTATGTCGATCTCATAAAATGGATAACCTTGATCCAAACGTGGAATCGTCAACGCTTATTTGATCAATACATTTTTGTTACCAAACAACCTCCAAGCAATTGTGCCAAATAACTATGACAATGCGTGTCATATAAAACAAGTCACTCGTAGCAAAACAAATCTACAAAATAGGTTAATTACGAGTATAGAGAAGGATTTAGACTAACCAGTATAATTCAGACTATGGCTTTGGGCATTCCATCTTAGTATTTAGAGGTGACAACATTTGTGGCCAACTATATTTGAAGATGGTTGCGGTCGTCGATCAATGAACTTCAGTGTCCACTTACAATTGCAGGCTTTGTCATCGTCTGTTACTTCAATCTTATTACAAAGGGCATCTTATAATGAGGGCATCCACGTTTTTTTCTGCCACCAGGGCGGCGCCACTTTACAGTGAGGTAAAATATTTGACAGATTTCATAGCGGGGACAATTTCTTAGGAAAATGTAATTTTTAACGTTTCTTTCTGTATTATTAGTTATATTTTATACTAATTACTTTAGAAATGAATAAACCAAACTATAAATATAACTAAAAAACGATTTTTTTTAAAAAGAGTTATAAAATGAAAAAAATTAAAAATTAAAATTACTGCATTGTGTTGTGTATTAATATAATACCCTAGATAATGATAAACTATTATTTAAAACGAATTTCTCAATTAACTGACACTGTGTAACAATAAACTTTACCTCAATCACAACTGGCGACATCTAGTGAGTGGAAGATTATTAGCCCTCATTGCTAGAGATGGGAACCACAAACTGTCAATAATTTCAAAAACGCTGTGTAATGTAAATACCGGGAACAAACTATTTTCAACAAGATAATGCATTATATGCGGCTATCTATAGTAGCCTGCTGAACATAGGCCCGTGACCATATAGTGGCCGTGTAATAATCTACTACTCCATATCATCCCGTGGGTGTCGTAAGAGACGACAGCGAGAAATGAATCAGGCGATGAATAGCAGTGTCTTCCTATTAACAATTAACCACTAAAAAATAAAAACTGATGTTGCCAACCCGGTTACCAAGAGTGGCAACTATGCCCACAATGACACAATCTATGAGGTAGGCCTATGTTGATGACTTTGACAGGCTGTAAAGGTAATGAAATATAGACCACCCCGCAGCATCATAGGAATATCCCATAGTTGCCTATGCCTATGAAGAATGCCACATAGCACGGCCCTGAGCCACCTGCATCCATCGAACTCCGTCATGACTTACTAGTTCTTCACATCTAGTGGGCGGTTGCCCAACACTTCACCTACCGGTAGGAAGCTGCCACTCGAGGACCTTTTTTTCCATCGTTTGTTGGTTTTTCGAGTAATATGGCCAGCCCATTGCCACTTTCTTGTGGATATCCTTATTTCTAAATTTATCATGCGGAAAAACCCCGAGCGTAGTCCCCTCCATAGCTAGTTACCTTAAATTTCCTCATACGGCCAGCAGTGAAGGACCAGGTCTGAGATCCATATGTCATCACTGGCAACACGCACTGGTTGTACAATCTCGTTTTCAAGTTTTGAGGTATACCTGACGAAAAGATGTGTCGTAATTTCCCGAACGCTACTCAGCCGAGTTGAATCCGTCGATTGACATCTCGGTCGAAGTTGGACTTACCTAGTCGGACTATTTCTCCCATCAATTTCGAGCTTAGTGATTGCAACAACTATCGGCGTAGGTGTGACATGGACATTACTCTTTCATCTTTGTTTTGTCCATGTTTATCTTGAGACCTATTCGTTTTGAGACAATATTGTATTTATTGAGTATAGTGCTAAGGTCCTCCCGCGATTCTAACATAAGGACTATATCGTCGGCAAATTGAAAGTGAGTTAAAAACATCTTTCAATGCAGCGGATTACATGCGTATTTTTTTAAGTGCTAGGGCCATACTGTAGTTAATTATGTTTGTAGCATGAATAGGTCGGCTTGACCGGGGAGGACCACACTTTCACAGAATATTAGCGTAAAATGGCAGCTGAATGCCGCTGTGTTGAATGAGAATTGGAACGCTTTTCTCTGGATACGAGGCATTTCATATTAGTCCTCAGAGATGACAACGCATTTGCATTTTGATTCTTGATCGGGTATTATATGTAGGGTCTATGGACCACAGTATCCACTTACCATCAAGTGGACTGTGATCGGCTCATTTGTTACCCATAATCTAACTAAAAGAATAAACATATAAAATTGCACAAGGTAATTAAATATCACGTAGTCAGTAGACCATACAAGTACTTGTTTAATGCGAGATTCTAATCTGCAGTCCTTGGCGCTGCAACTCAAAACTAAGCCACATCACCAATTAATTTTAAAGTTAAGAGCATTGGTAAAATTTTAAAAGATTTACTAAACTTGTAATCGACTCATGGTAACTGGAATGTCTACAAAATAAACTGAGCGTTAAATGGATTTGCGTTATCCATGCTATCGTTTCTAGGGTTTCGTACGTCTAAAGGAAAAACGTTATAGAAGAAGACTCCTTTTTTTTTTCAAAAACGAATAGAGGTATAAAGATGAAATTAATGCAATGAAAGTAAATTGGTAGAATAAACAATAAGCTTATAAGTAAATGCAATGAATAGACCCGATCACTTAATACGTTCCCATTGATCTGGAACCATCAAACTTGGCAAAAGGGGAGATCTCAAAACAAGTGAAAAACTAAATCCGAAAATCGTTAATTTGTAGAATCATTGCCATCTAAAGGTAAACAGCACTGCGAGACACTGTCATAGAGACTAGTCATAGTTTAAGGGCGGTAGAGCCACGCGGCAGTTTTTGCTGCTGCACGTATGGGCCGGCTCGAGTCGGGATGGTACCACGACCTCACAGAATACAGGCGTGAAGTAGAAGCTCTGATTCTGCGTTTCGTCTGGTGAGTGCATGTGGCTGGAGGCCCAATCCACCCGCCCCATCAACATAGTAGCGAAATTACAAAAACTACCCCAGGGGGGTACCAGAACCTCTGGAAAATGCCTCGCTGAGCTCCTGAGCGTGGTTGCTCAGGCTGCCCCGCGTCTATTGGGGGGGGGGGGGGGAACTCAACTCAAAAACATAACTGCTCGGGGCAAACAGAGCAACAATAACAAGGCGACCACTGCCACGCTATCCGTGAATTTCTTCAATATCAGGGGACTTCACTCTAACCTAAACGCGGTCCACTAACATCTCGAAACGGCGAAGCCGGCCTTGCTCTTTCTGACCGAGATGCAGGTGTCCTCTCCGGCTGATACTTCGTATCTATCCTGCCCGTGGTACAAATTGGAGCACTCCTATGTGCCTCTGGATGGAGTTTGCGTATATGTCAGAGAGGACATCTGTTCTCGACGCCTCGGCAGTCTTGAAGGCTCGGACCTGTCCATCCGTTGGCTACGCGTAGACAGCGACAACCATCCGCGCGTCTACGGGTGCGTCTAGAGGTCCCATAGTGGTACTGCTAAAACAGATCGACTCATCAACCACGTCCAAATGGCTACAGATTCCTTGCTACAACAGATCCCATCCGCAGAGATCGTGATAATTGGCGGTTATAACGCCCACCACGCCAAATGGCTCGGTTCACGTTTAACCAATCATGTGGGGAGATCTGTTTATGACTTTGCCTTGGCATATAGTCTGACACAACTGGTTACTTCGCCTACGCGGACTCCAGATGTGGAGGATCATACACCTTCCCTGTTGGACCTTCTGCTGACCTCTCATCCGGACGGATATCAGGTTTCCGTCAATGCCCCTCTCGGCTCTTCGGACCATTGTCTGATCCGGAGTGTGGTGCCACTCACGCTCCCGTCGCGGTTGCGTTCTGCAGGTTGCCGCCGTGTTTGGCATTACAGGTCGACGGATTGGGACGGAATGCGGTCTTTCTTTGCATCCTACCCATGAGGG